CCAGCTCTGAATTCCAATATCGTAGGCAGGTCTGAGACCACCACCTACTATTAAGGTTGCCTGGCACTTCCCATTATAAATCTTGTTTTCAATTGTTAATGACTTTGTCATAACATAAATAAATAAATAAGAAACCCAACCTCTAATCATCTGGGCTGAAATTTTTCAGGTCAGGTGTCTTCGCCAGGCTGAATAGTTTTGGAAATTTTCAGCCAAAATGATTCCGCCATTTTGAGAACAAGGCTAGTAAAAATTATATTATTTTGCCCAGGTTAAAAGATTTTGGCAACCTTTCATTTGAAATACTCTAACACCCCCATGCTTTGGAGCAAGAACTTGAAATTTGGTAGGGAGGAGCCATTGTGTCAGGGATCAATCTTTTGCCATGTTTGTGAAAGTTTGCTCAAATTTGGCCAAGTTATAGGCCTTTGAAAAATTGCAGTTTGCACATGCTCAGTAGAGACTTGCTAGAGCTTAGCAGCTGACTCGTCCTCATTGTTACTAGTGCCAAGAAGACTGAACATGCAAATGAGTAAGCTTTTTTTTACCCTATAAATGCCCAAATGACTTCATGAATTTTACTTAAACTTACCCTAGAAACATTCGTCTTTGAGCAAAGATTAGGTGAATATTTCAGAAAGTTATAAGCATGTGAAAATTGGCTTAGAATTGAAACTGCTTTGCAGCCTTTAGTACAGCAATTGGAAACCTTATATTCCTTTGATATCTTTGTAAAAAAATGTCCCTTCTGCTGACTTCACAAATAATTTAATGGAATCATTACAAATTTATTTTTAAATTGATAACCTAATGTTCTCTCTATATACCATACCTGTAATGAAGCCTGAGCACCAGCCTTAACATTCTTGTCTTCATCTTCTAGTATACATCCTCTGCTAACAGCATTAGAGAAGGAGTAAGTTCTTCCCCAGCTGGAAGATCTTTTATGTCCAGAATGACCAGAGGCAAGCTTTCAAAAACACAAGTAAATTAGCAATACAGGATTATAAAAGATGGATTCCTATACAGATCATATAAAAGCTAAAAAATAATAATTTTTAAACAGTCATAGGTTCTGTGCTCATTTGCATAACTATTAATAGTTACTCTTATTCAGAGATCTAATTTGTATAGGGTATAAGGGCAGTCCATATTACCTTAAAAATATTTAATAATGCTTTTCATAACCCATTCATAGCAGTAAAATTTCCCTTTTAAATTTTTTTTATAAATAAAAAAATTATTAGTTGAATTTTAAGCTTTCTGTAAAACAGCCTAAGCAAAGACTGGTACTATAAGTATTTTTATATTCTAACTCTTGTTCCCCAATGAGCAGAAATACCCTTTTAAATAACTTCACACCTCGGAATAGGGCATATACATCTGGTTCAATATATTAAGATATGAGCACCCAAGCCACAAAGTTCAGATCTGAGACTGAACTTCCCAAAGTTCAGGGTGTCTGGATCCAAGGTTTAGGTCCAGATCATAAAATTGATGGACTATCTGCAAATATAGCTGGGCGCTTATCAAGATTTTATGATGGATTTAGATAATCAAATATTTGTAATTTTAATTGTGTTAATGTATATTCATGCTAAAATATTTTTGTCAAAAGAAAAAATACATTCCTGCCAACAGCGAATACTAAACCAGTAGTCTGAACAATTCAACATTGCAGAATGCAATACTATTTGTTCCGCTAAGTCCATCCAAAATGGTATTTACACAGAGAGTTAAAAGACAGATTAAAGATCAGATTTTCAAAACAGCTCAGCACCCAGAATCACCCATGGTTGAGAGCAGCTGGGTACTCAGCACATTTCAAAATCTGGACCTAAAGAAATAAAAAGGTGCATAAGCAAATATGTATCATCAAAAAAAACAACAATTTTATGAAAAAGGATTGAAGACAAATAAGAATAATATCAATCATTCAGCTTGTACACAGTAAGTAATGATCGGTACCATACATGTTTGCAATCTGTCTCTGTATGTTCCAAGTTGGACACATTATCTTGAATATTTTCTTGTTTATCTGGTTCTTCCATGAACACAGGCTTGTCTTGCAATATCCACTTTCTATATACCTTAACCACTTTCCGTGTTGCAGATATATCAGAGGAAGGCAACAAAAAAGCCTAAAATGCAAATTTAACTCAATTTACCTATACACAGAATATTACAAATTACACAGACCAAAAGAAAATAGTTTAAAATCTACTTTTAAATCACTACGATCAAGAGCTATGATTATCACCAAGCTATATAAAAATCAACCTAAAAATACATCTCACAAATCATTGATTAGTCAAGCTAATTATTGAGCTTAGCTGACTTTCATATTGCATGTGCTCAGACTGCAAGTAAAAGGTTATTTTTCTTCACTGTCTCTCTTCAAACTCAACCTGGGTTCTTTTCCCATCTTGCTCATCATTATCAGTGATAGAAGTTCTGTAAACTAAATTATGCCCTTAGATATACACCCTGTGCAACCCCACTGATTTCAGATTATGTTATCAGTGTCACATGTAAAATCCCAGTTAAGCAAATGCTGTTAAAGGGGTGCCACCAAGGGCATAACCTGGAGGATGGGAAAAACAGGTAGCATTCTGTTGCTTTCTACTAAACTTTCTGAGATCACAGAAGAACATATTTTTGCGTACTTTCTATGGTCTGCAGCTGGAAGCCTCTCTGTAAAGTCGACCATTCAAGAGCCTTGGGAGGTTAAGCTGGCAGCCTCCCAAATTTGTGAGACTCATCAGTTCCTAACATTTCTAAATAGGTCTGTCAGCCCTTCACAACATTTCTAAGTAGGGTCACGGGACCTGACAATCCTACTAAGACTTCAGAGGGTGAAATCCCCCAAATAGTGTAAGGCTCAAATGGGACCAGAGGACCATCAAAACATGTTATATATAGGGCTGTCAATTAATCGCATTTAACTCACATGATTAACTCAAAAAAATTAATCGTGATTAATTGCAGTTTTAATTGCACTGTTAAATAATAGAATACCAATTGAAATGTATTAAATATTTTGGATGCTTTTCTACGTTTTCATATATGTTGTATTCTGTGTTGTAATTGAAATCAAAGTATATATTATTTTTGCTTACAAATATTTGCACTGTAAAAATGATAAACAAAAGAAATAGTATTTTTCAGTTCACCTCATACAAGTACTGTAGTGCAATCTCTTTGTCCTGAAAGTGCAACTTACAAATGTAGATTTTTTTGTTGTTAAATGACTGCACTTAAAAACAAAACAATGTAAAACTTCAGAGCCTACAAGTCCACTCAGTCCTATTTCTTGTTCAGCCAATCGCGAAGACAAACAAGTTTGTTTACATTTAAGGGAGATAATTCTGCCTTCCGGTGACATTGTAAACAAGCAGCATTATCTCCTGCAAATATAAACAAACTTGTTTGTCTGAGCAATTGGCTGAACAAGAAGCAAGACTGAGTGGACTTGCAGGCTCTAAAATTTTACATTGTTTTATTTTTGAATGCGAGTTTTTTTGTACATAATCTACATTTGTAAGATCAACTTTCATGATAAAGAGATTGCACTACAGTACTCATATTAGGTGAACTGAAAAATACTATTTCTTTTGTTTTTTTACAATGCAAATACTTGTCATAAAAAATAAATAAGTGATCAATGTACACTTTGTATTCTGTGTTGTAATTGAAATCAGTATATTTGAAAATGTAGAAAACATCCCAAAATATTTAACCAAATGGTATTGTTTAACAGTGAGATTAATCGTGATTAATTTTTTTAATCATGTGATTATTTGCAATTAATTTTTTTAATCACTTGACAGCCCTAGTTATATACTTTCAACCTAAATTCTACCATAACATTTAACTAAGGAAATGTCCCTTGTTTGGGAAAAAGACACTGGATAACAGGAGATCTTGAGGAACCTCATAAAGATCACTGTAGTCTGTTATGCCAATATCAAATTCCTACTTCGACATTTAGTAGTCTTTAAAATTAGAATTTAACAAACTAAAACTTTGATCCTCTGCATTCGATAGTGGTTAAAACTTCAGATTACTGAATTTATCTATCTTTCACTTTGTGTTCATGCTATGTAATAACAAACAAAGTTAGAAGATTTTTTGGACTCTGATGAACATTTATTTTGTAATGTTTTAGAACATTGTACACCTTGTGTGATTAACTCCAAATAGGGTAGAAACATGTTATCCTGGCAATAGATGTACCATTCCCAGCCCCACCAAATATTATGATGCAGCTCAAAGTCTGTTTTATAAGAGGCTTACTTCTAACTATGGAATAGTTACCTACTTTTCATAAATATAGTCTGAAATGAGTAGATATAATGAGTTCAGTCTTAAATCTTTTTCCACCTGAGCTACCCGGATGGGGAGCACTGCAGTGGCATCTTGTTTGGAACCTGGATATCTATCAATACGATCCCTCTGACCAACATGCGGTGCAGCATTAACTGGCTAGAACTGGCATGGGCAACTGGCAGTCCAGGGTCTGCATCCAGAACACCAAACCATATATTTGGTCCAGCCATCAGCGGGGTCGCAGCCCCAGAAAAAGAATTCTTTTTTTAAAGATTGAGCCAGGTTGTTGAGGGGCGCAGTCTTTTAGTAAAATTGCTGCCTACTCACATAGGAGGTGGACTCTGCCCCATGCCACCCAGCTTTGATTACTGCCATACCATTGGCTCCCACAACTAATTTGTTTGTGGTCATTTGCCTGTGCCCGTGGGGCGGCAGAAACTGGGAGAGGCAGAGGAAAAAAATTAAGACAGATTTGTTTTGTTATTTTCATTTATTAATCTCCTGTTCTTCTGCACAGTGAAAAAAAAGGTTATAGATTAGTTTAATTTGTATTTATTTATTTAAAGGCTGGGCTATAAGGGACTTTTATATTTAAAAATACTTCAGTTTTATACTGTTAATACATGGTTAATTGTATGTTAAGATGCTCTATCGTAGGAAATATTTTTGAGTTATGCAATATGTATCCTGCCATGGCCTTCTGCTACTTTAAAGTTAACCATTCCTGGGGTAAAAAACAATAGGACCGTATTAAGAAGTCCTCAGCCCTAATCAGCTGGAGGGAAGACTGCTTCAATATACATCCTTAAAGGGAGGGTTCAAGAGAAGCATGAGAATTAATTTACACAGTGACCAGAAGAGATTTTCACTTCCCCTTCTTTAAAAGAAAAAAAACAGACCAAAAATCTATTCTCTGTTTCAAGTACATAATCCATACGTATATTAAATAAAAGGCAAAGCAAATTTCTGTTCTGATGTTCTTTATTTCTATAACATACAGTGAAGTTTTAAGTACTTTGAAGGAATGCTGAACTAATTTATCATCATGCCAGAAGAGGGCAGCATAACACAGTATTCCATAAAGGATACCAAACTATTCTTTAGTGTCAAACCACCTCCATCTCTTTTTCAATATAGAAAGCATCTGTACTGCATATAGATATTTTCCTACTTAAAAAAAAAAAAAAAAAAAGATTTCAAAGATGGCAAATTAATATCAGGGGCTAAGAGAAAACATCTAATGATGACACTTACTGTTGTCTACATAGAAATTATGAATTTACTTTGATCATAGCTGCAGAAGCAAGCTTCTTGCAAACTCAGCTTTACACACACATATGCAGTAGCAGACACTACATGCTTTTTAATTATATGCACCAGTGTACGAAACATCAAAATTCATATGCAAGGCTGCATTAAATGATCTAGGGAAGTGTGACAGAATTGCTATTTTGGTCTGAGCAACACATTTGTATTCCTATTTGACTTTCTTATCTTCATCTATCAAATTACTAATTTATCCTGATAATAAAAAAGTTTGAGATTTTCAATGCTGGCAAATGTCAAAACTTCTTTTAATCATGCTAATACAGCATCTTGTTATATTGTATAAATAATACAGTTTTCCTCACCTGCATCCCTTGCAAGTTATCTTATTTCAGAACCCTCTTCTAAATTTATCAAGTAGATATACAAAATCTTAAACTTACTTTAAGTTTTCAATGGTAACCACTAGTCAGTTTATAACCAGAAAATGGGAAACAAACTCAAGGTGATAAGCATGGGGGGTGGGAGAAGTCTCTCTGGTCACACTAAGAAATAGCAGAACACAATATCACATTTCATGGTTTTTAACTGCCTATGTCTCAGCTTAAAAACTACATCTTCAGATGAATTAATGAATATATTTAAAATATTGTATATAATATATATGAAAGCTTCTTTAACAAATGGTGCTTTCCTCTATTTGGAACATTATAAATAATAATCATCTACGGGCTGGACTTAGAAAGGACTTCTAAAGATAAGGACTTGCAGATGAGACCATGGTGAAGTTTAGTCAATCTTTTGGTTCAGCAGCATTTACAGTTTTCTTTCACATAACACTTAGCCACACAGTGCACTTATATATGTGCTTCTGCAGTTTTTAAAGTTATACAATAGTATGTATAATCTCCTACTACTTACTTGGCGAAATACTTCATTAACAAAATTGACGTAACCTCGAGTGGACAACAGAATTCTCTGTACCATCTCATACACTGTCCGATGTTGTTCTTCGATGCTGCAAAGACTAGAGTTACTGAGTCTCCTATCAGACAAAGTGCTGCTATTGGAATGATTTTTCTCTTGCTCTGATAGCACACTAGTTTCCAACTCGGGGTTTTTATCTTGAGTTGTACCACCAACAGTCTAGACAGGAGAAAATACAAGCCTAATAAAATATTTGTAAAATATTGCATATAAACATACCAAAAACCTGGGTTACTTATTCTGAACTCCAGTTACCAGCAACTTTCACAAACTCATTGAATCCCAGGAGCAACTGAATACAACTTTTAATAAACTTGAGCTAAGCAAAAAATTAGTCATAATATTTAAATGCCTAATGTGCATCCTATTCCCCATCTCAGATCTGTTGACTGTGAGATAGGAAACCACGAGATAGGGTGAGTTGGACCATGGAGATTTAAAGGAGTTTACCGATATGGGGTACACCAGCAACTTTGATTTTCTAACATGAGATCTACCTTCAAAGATTCTTGCTTTTTAGTCTTTAGAAAATAGATGGCACATTAGGGCACAGTGCTAGGGGATGATCCTTAGGTCACTTTACTCCATCGGAAAGAAGAGTAAAATTGGGGAGGAAAAAGATGCAGGGGGAGGAAGAAAACAAATAGCGGAGGAATTCCAAGTCACTTTTTTCGTTTGTAAAAAAATGTCATCCTAATCATATTCATGAAGCATCTTGGCAAAATGGTAAATTACGGGGTTATTTGCATAGCTGTAACATTTCGTAATAAAAGGGATCCAGTCATGAGAGAGAAGATGACAGAGGATGTAGTCCTTTGAAAAGAGGTTCTGTAAAACTTACCTACTTACTTAGTGGAAGAAATGCTATCTTAAAAGAAAACATGTAATCCACATGCAACAATGTTCAATTCACTGAAAATATTGCCTGGGCATAGGTGCTGATTAGCAAAGGTTCCTTTCTTTTTACAGTATCAGATTCCAGAAATATTTCTGAGTGAAGTTCACAAGCTGCATGGGAGAGCTGCCCACATTCAGTGAAATTCAAAGTCATTAAAAAGTCAGCACTGCCAACAACTACCACATAGTTCTTACCAATTTTGCTCTATATTTAGAAGAGGAATCTCATATCCAACTATAGGGTAACTTGAGAAATTCTGACTTTGAAGGTGAACATTTTACCATACCTCACTGGGTTTTAAATCAAATATTTTTTTCAGTACTAGCTTTCATCCAGTTTTACTTGAGAGAAAAAGTCTCTTCCAGCTCATGTGGCTATAAGTATGTTGAACGTGGCAAGACAACTCTTCAGACAAAAATCTGGGAGACATAAATTGATCTACAGTACTTGAGCTTCAGAGAAACAAAACAAAAAAGTCCTTCCTGTTATATAGCTACACAAATTTCAATTTTAGACTTCTGACTACGGGACTTTCTATATTTCTTTAGAGAATCTGCAGTCAAAGCCAATTGCTTGCTATGAAACTCTTGGTGTGTGAAGCTACCAATCCTGGCCAGATTAGAAACAGTAACTTGTAAATTAAATGTGTGCTCTGGAGACTGCTGGTGGATCATATGGGTACTGTTTTTCCTCATTTCCAGATGGTAAATTGTATTAAAAGAAGCTAAAAATACATTAAATACTTTCCTAGTATTTCACTGTAAACAACGTTGTTGTAAAGATGTTGTGGGATTATTAAAGATGGCCATCAAGATACTCTCTCTATTGAGAAATGGTCTGCAATATAAAAAAAAAGTTCGAGAACATCTGGTTTAGAACAAGAATGTCTAATGATTATATTGTATTCAGAAGGTTGCTTTTCCTCTTTAAATAAGGCAAAGGGCAAACAGCTACAGAAATATTTTCCGATACATTGCTAAAAGAGTTCCTCCAAAGACTCATTCCTCCATCAGAGGAAAGCTAATTTAAACTGCATCATTCACCCACCTAAGCAGAACATTTCCTTTTTGTTTCAGTTGTCAATATATTTTGATCATCTGCAGCTTCTCTAGCATATACATAAGGAAACAAGTTTATGACATACCTGAATGATTTTAGGCAGCATTTCTCCTCCATTTTTAGTATTCTGCACTGAAGTGAAGTACTTCTTTTCAAGAAAGAAGGTTACAAGCCATTTAATAAAAACAACACGAGCAGCCATGAATGGGATTTTCGTGCTGTAGATGTTTTCATTATTCCGAGTTGCAGTAATGTATGCTGGTTTTGGCCTCAAATCAGGAATATCTTGTGAGATTAAACAGATAATATAAATAAATCTTTTTAAAAAAAAACAAAAAAACAACAACAACTGCTTGGTGAAATGAATTGAACATTAGACTTATAGCATTTTTTCTCCATGTGAAATAATAAATGTGATGCACCAGCTGCTTACGCCTAATATTATTCTTATTAATATATGTTTATATACGGCCATCATTTTGAATGGTGCTGGAGAGAAACAAGACAAAAAAAGCACAGCTCCTGCCCTGAAGAACTTAATCCATACCAGATAAATAGCAGACAATGCAAGCAACGAACAAAAGAAAGGGATAGGGAAGGGAGGGACAAGACTTTAAAGTAAGAATATGAGTCACAGTAGAATGTAAAATTATCTTTTAAATTCTGATCATTTTTATTGAGAAAAGGGTAAAGAGGGATGAAGTAAATAAATCAGGAGCAGTCAAATAGTGCAAAGCCAAGTGAAAGGAGTGAGGCTTGAGGAAGAAAAAAGGATGTGCTAAGGCACACTAGAAAGGGGAGATCAACTCAGGTGCAGGGAGCAGTGTCAGAAAAGCACAGAAGTGGAGAAAAGGCAAAGGGCTCAAGGTGTGAAGAACAACCACAGCACAGGAGAGGAACTATATAGATGAGAGGTAAAACATAGGCGGGGCAGAGTTGTGCAGAGGCTTAAAAGTGGGCATGAGTACTTTGAATGTTGTGAAAAAAGGAGTGAAGAGTTTCTATGGGTGAATAACATGGTTGAAGTGGCAGTGAAGTAAGATTGTATTAGCTGCTAAATGCTGGATAGACTGAAGAGGAGAAGGTTCACAGTCAGGGAGGATGCTGAGGAGGAGTATTAATACTGGTCAAGTATTAATGGCTTTGGTTCCATTCAAACACCAGCACTTGAGTTCCAATGCACCACTTAATTGGTGTATTAGGAACAGCTCAAAAATAAAAGGATTTCAACATTTCTAGAGTGACGGAAGCCTTTAATCATACAACTGGATTTTTTGACTGGCTCTCACAGCACATCTGTACTCACATCGACATCTCAGCCTCCACTGACTGTGCTACAGTGTGTCTACACTTTGAGCTGGGGGCGCGATTCCCAGCTTGAGGAGACATCCTTGTGCTATTGCTCATTGAGCTAGTGCAGTAAAAACAGTGTGTAGTCACAGAGCTGCGAGCAGTGGGACAGGTTAGCCACCTGAGCATTTGCCTATCGTCTCTCATGGTCATGCACTCAGGGCAGATAGCTTCTCCTGACACCCAGGCTACATTCTGTTTTTAGCATACTAGCTCAATGAGAGCAAGCACAAGTATGTCTCTCAAGTTGGGAATCACACCCCAGATCAAAGAGTAGACATATCCTTAAGATGCCATTCTCGCTCTCCCCCCGCCTTTCAAAGATGAAGAAGATAAAATAAACATGATTTTATTTGCATCAAAACTAATATCTGGCTTTTGGGCACCTTAACAATTCTTTCAACATCTACCCTGTATCATGTATTTTACTATCTTTGTGCACGTTCTTTGTTAACCTAAAACAACATGAAGGCTATGGAAGTTTTGGGTGTTCAAGGAATGCAGGACTGGCCCCAGCCCACATGTTGGGAATGGAGTTAAAAACAAAACAAAACAAAAAACAAAAATCTTCCTGTGTTCGGGCCACTCCTCCCAGGGGGCATGAGGGATTGAATCCAACCATGGAAGTATTACAACATGTTTTTCCTTAAAGCAACTGTTAAATAACCCAGGGAACTAATATCTGTGATTACATGTGAAAGATCAAGGTTTGTTTTTTAAATGAATGGCACCTAATAATTTGATAAAAATGCAAAATAAATACAATTATCTTAATCTGTTTCACCCATATGTTAATATCAAAAGGGGAATCTAAAATAGTACTAGAGAAAATAATTTTTTCTTATAAGCCACAAGTGTCACGCATATATTCAGCAGATATAGTTGTAATGATCACAAAGAAACTACAGAAAGTAACCACCAAATATTTTTGCTACTTAAAAGTAAAACTCACTACTTACCAAGCACAGGTTTGTAGAGGTTGGTTAGTTTTGTAAAAGATGGAAACAAGTGAGGAAGATAATACTTTCTAAACAAGGCGAAGAGAAACTTAAAACCAGTGTCTTGGTTCTCCTTATTCTTCCACTCTAAGCTTGCAGCCTTTGCCATGGAGTCAAAAAAAATGTTTCAAGTTAATACACATTCTATTAAAAATTTCTCCATGTTGATGATAAATGCTGCTTTACTGAATGTGGAAGATGGAAAACAACACTTCAATAATAGATATGAAATATTAGTATTCTATTTCCAAAGCTCTACAGAGTACAATAAGAGCATAAGAAAAAAAATTATGCATGCCAGGTCATTTAAAAAGCAAGCACAAAGGAAGCTCATTAAAAGCTGACACACTTATACTATTATAATCCAATCACTCACATAAATGTCATAAATTAATGTCATTGTATTTTGTTAAAATATTTTACTAAGATTAAACAAAGCTTCTTACCTCTAAGTAGGGATCTATGAAGCTACTAGTCTCTCCAGGGTATATTTTTCTCTCATAATCAGCATAACCAACTCCTGTCATTAATGGAGTTGCATATGCACATACAAGATAACCTTAGAAAGCCTCAATCTTGAGCCATACGTATTTGCTACTGGCATTGGGAGCTGACTGCAAAATCTGATTTTTTTTTAGTGCTTCAGTATGTCAGTCCTGGTGAGCGTCAGGTGTTGTGAGCACACATTATGTGAGCTTCCACCTACCATTCTGACCAGTCCTGATCTGCAGTATCTTGGTACAGATATTGCTAAATTGTGCTAAAGACTGTGGTGATTTTTTCACTGAAATATAGGCATGTTAAAAATAGTAAGCATGTTCCAACCACTAAACCCTACATGTGTTCGTTTCCTCTAATTATTTGTGCCATGGATGCAAAGAAGAATGGTGAAGGTAGACATCCTCGCAATAAGGGAGAGACAGACTTCTACTTGCTCAATCCTGTTTGTGGAGTTTGATCTCTCATATCAATTTCACACCATGTAAATACCAAACCAGTTTAATTTATTTACCATTCTTCTGAGGTACATTCTTTCAACTTGACTCAATCCCTGGCCCCCTTTTTTAAAAGCAGCTTCAAGAGCAAATAAATTCTCAGTAACTGAACATTTTCTACTTTCAAATTCCCACAAAAGTCCACCTGATCCCTGTACACTAAACCAGGAAATATCAACTCTAGTCATCTTCATATTTTCAAATCTAAAATTAAGATGGGATACTGGTTCTTCCTTTACTTTCCATCATTGATTTGTCTGCTTCAGCCATAGTCCTATTACATTTTCCCACTTTCATCAATAATGAGCCTACATCCCAATTAAATGTTTTTAAAACTTCCCAAATCACCAAAGATCCTGTAACTTGCAAGGCCTTATTCTGCAAATACTTACACATGTAAGCTTTGGGAGTGAAAGTATTGTCTGGAGTTTTTCTTTTACTGTCTACTGTCTGAAGTAAATTGTTGCTCCTACTTGATTATTTTATGTTGGTGGAGTCAATTTTAATGTATTAATGCCACAGTGTAGTTACTGTAAGTCTAATTATTGTCAGAGTACTAAGGGATTTTGTATACATGTTCTTTTTATAATGTCAAATCTAAATAAAATAAAATGAATCTACTTCTGAATAGCATCACTGAACACAATGTGTACTTTATTCATGTGTGTAAAATTACCGTTTGCTCTGATGCTGCAAATATTGCACAAGAATATAAATTCATGATTGCCTTTAAAATTTACTGTCCAGTGATTGCTTTCTTTGGCCATCTCAAGTCATCTGACATAGTCAGCTGAATTTCCACTAAATATTTTTTGATTGCTTCCACTTTACGCTGCTTTTCTTAGTTTCAAAAACAAAATTCAGTTTAAAAGTGTGTATTTTTGCCAAAACTTTATTTCTATTTTCCATCTTTAATCAGGCATATCAGTTAACTTTTCTCTGTTCTCAGTTTACATGCTATAAACTAACTGGGCCATTCTTTTGGTTCCAATTACACAATGTACTTAAGCTAATTAATGTACAATGTATCAGCTCTCCTTTCTCCAAAAAATCAAAAACCAAAAAACTAACAACAAAATTGTGGTCTGAATTCAAAGACATAAAAATTTGTTCCCCAGAAAGAAGACTCTTCAAAATACGTGCAGTCTTTAGTCCCGTTAAACATTAGGGAGTTTGTCTACTGCTTTCTTCCCTAAAGCATAGCTTTTCCCTAAGTGTTAGCTCATTCCGTACTCTGAATGGGTGTTTTTCATCTCATCCATCACCATCATTAAAAAAGGTTTGTACAGCCAAACTGGGTCCTCAGCTGCGCTAGGCACCCAGCCTGACTGACACATAAAGATGGCTGTAAAAGGCAATTTTGAGCACCTTCTTGGATCTGCTGATAGCCAGAAATAACACCTTTAAGACCATGTCTACACTATGGGGACTATAGCAGCATAGCACCATCGCTATGTTGATGTAACCTTGTAGTGTAGACACAGCCTACAACAACAGAAGGGGATTTTCCACCACTGAAAGAACATCACCCCCCCCCCAAGTGATGGTAGGTAGGCTGATTGAAGCATTCTTCCATCAACCTAGCTGCATCTACACTGGAGTTAGGTCAGCACAGCTACGGCACTTGGGGTATGGATTTTTCAGAGCCTTGAGCACCGTACTTATGCTGACCTAAATTTGAAGTGTGGTGGACCAGGCCTAAAACAGATGTGAACTGCTCCCATTATGAGATAACAAGCTGGTACCAAGCAGCAGAGGGAGGAAGAGTATAGTGAGAAGACTAGTGATTCTGGACTGCCTTGTCCCATGAAGAACAACCTGGCTCCCGTTTTCACAGCAAACCCTGCCCCCCTTTGTCACAACAACGCTCGAGGACATCATATGCCCCTAGTAAAACATCTATCTGAGATGACTAATTAAAAGGTAGGGGGTCCATTTATATGTAAAATAGATTCCAGATTAAACAAAGTCAATTTTTTAAAAAACGTCCAAAGTCACTGTCAACATCAGTACCAAATCCTGCTGTAGCAACTATCTAGCTGAAGAAAACAAACCAGTCACAGCCATGGGTGCTACTAAATCAACAGCCAATGAACTTTCTAAGCTTTGCTGAAATCCTGGGTTATATGTCTATACTGCATCTTGGAGCAAGCCTTCCAGCCCAAGTCCACACACATGTGCTAGTAAGCCTTGCACTAGCACGCTAAAAATAGATGTGTAGATGATGCTTTAATGTTGTGGCTCAGGCTGGAGCTCAGGCTCTGAAGTCTCCCAGGCTTCAGAGCCCAGGCCACAATGTCTACACAGCTATTTTTAGCATGCTAGCATGAGTCAGTGGACCCAGGCTGAGAGACTCACTCCCAGATGCAGTGTACACATATCCTTAGAGACTAGAGGTAAAATAGGAGACAATATGGAATGAAGTCCTGTGGAGAACATTAATTCAGAGGTGTGGCTTACTATAATGCATTTCATAACTACTTGGCTTTATCTTGATTTAACAGGATGACCTTCCTCAAAGGTTACATGAAAAGTAAATTACTTGTTAGAATTCTGTAACGTAACCAGCAACAGGAATTTGAAGAGTTATGACTGAATCGTTTGACTGAAAGGGGTCGACCACCTCTTATCATACTAGCAATACTGATGGCTGAGAGAGGGATTATTCTATTAACAGCTTTTGAGATACGTGCAAAGTGCAACTATTGTATGAAAAGTCAAAATTAATTAAGCTTTGAAATCAGCTTCCTGATGTCAGATGCTGGAGCATAGTGACTAGGGATTTGTGTGAAGCTGTTTACCTTGTGAGAAACCTTCTTTATGGATATAAACTAAAGCTTTAAAAAAAAAAAAAAACCACAAAACCCCACAATATAACATCATCCCTTACTTGTTTTACTTATTTGAGATAGAAATAACCAATTTCAATACAAAAGCCACAACAAAATATTTGACTTCTTTTCTTTTATAAAAAATAAGCAACTCTCTGGATGACAGTAACCTCCATCTGAAAAATATTGTACAAGTAGAAACAATGAAAACAAACTCCCACCACAGGTATGTTCCCCCACCTATTAAAAAGTTTACCAATTATTCTTTTCGCACCTGGATTACCATATACTTTAACAATATCTGAAGAAAATAGCAGGTTTGGTCCTCAGCAACCTTTTCACCAGAGATAGCTGGCAGAAGTGGAGTTATTTCTTCAGGATAAATCTTTGCTAAAATACAGAGAAAGATTTTTTTAAAAAAGATCAAATTTTAAAATAGTGGTATAAATAAATTAAATTTGTGATGTAGTCATGTTCTATAAAATATTATAGTATAAATACATCTACTGATTGCACAAAGCCAGTTCCATTAGTCAGCTGGATTGTTTTCATATCTACCCACGCCCCAAAATATATAGCTAGAAACAGCATCAGCCCTGGCCCCCTAACCACCAAAACCCAACACACAGATTTTTCCTTTATGAGACCAATTTATCGAGAGAGGAATTTCTAACCTTCACAGTAGTGACAATCCTGAAAATAATGAACTGAGTGAGAACTGATGCAGTGATGTCTGAGTTTGCAGATAGCCTGAAACAGTAGCTCTGACAGATGTGAACTGCCCAATTCATTTTAATACCTTGTTAACTATGAAAATTAAAAATGATAATCTGTGGCACACTAGCAATGTGAGAACAGCATAAACTGAATTTAATACTGAAATGAACAACACAAGGTCTATTATTTATACTGAGTTTTAATTTAAACCTCTGTTTTTAAAATATATCTGCAGTTGTCACTGAATAATAAAAATTTCCACTGGAGTGCCAGAGAATCCAGGGACCTTACTACAGAATATATGAAGCCTCGACAACACTAGACATATTAGCTCTTAAGAAAGAACAAGATTGCCAACAACTGAAAAAATAATAGAAGGAAGGGATTAACTAACGATGGTTGGAACCACAGTCCCTTATACACCTTTGTTCAGATCAGTGAGAGGATGTGTATGGAATCAATAATCCCTGATATCCATCTGAAGTATATCAGTAAAGTATCCAATTTAACAATTAAGAATGGCACTAAGTGCTTTCCCAGAAGGAATATTCCCACAGATGCCCCCCTCCCTCTTATACTATGCAGTTTTAAAGTTTTCCTTCTCCTGTTCCTCCTCTTCCATCCCCACTGTTTCTTCTTGTTAGGATCAATCTAAATGGCCTTAAATGAAAACTCTGGAATTTGCTGCCGTTTGGACTGCAAGAGTCCAGATTTCAAGAGTTTCAGGGAGGCTGAAAAACTCATCTGTTTTCCTGGGCTTTATCTTCCTTTAGGGGATATCCTCCCCTAATCTTGATTTAAGTTTCAGCTGATCAGGGAACTTGACCCCCTACTAAACAAGTACCTGCTCTGGACACTTGCCAAGTTGCGACAACATGAACACTTTACAACCTAACCTACCCACCGGGTCACTGGACTGCTGATAGAGGGAGTGGAAAAACCCACACTACCCGGCCAATCTACTAGTGAGAAAAATTCCTTCCCAGATCCAACAAGGGATTAGTGTGATGTTCACACCATGACCTAGAAACCAGATACCCCACATGTAGAACGGCATCCTGGGGATGGACAAGGACTCATAAGATTTCCCCTCTAATGCACAGAAACCCATAGGCTTCAATCTAGCCAGTTAACAAAAATCCCTCCCAAACCCACAAGAAGACTAAATGCCCACAAGGAGAGAGGAAGGGTGAGCAATCCTTAAAGGGCCCCAAGGATTTTCTTTTCCCTGCTAGCACAAACAAAACCTCTCCATCTCTGAGGGGAAGAGGTCGAGGTGCTCATGGTGGATCTCAAATATGAGATCCATGCTGAAAATATATGAAGTATAATTTGGGATTCATTTTCTACTTATAGGCATCTAAAAAGCAATTTTTACCTAAATATAAGTACTAGCCATATAGGATTCAAGTTCTTTTTAAATTTTATACTGAACAGAACTGTCTAGATCTACTTACACTCAGTGACCAGCAGGAAGTAGCAAAGCAGTGCAAAAAGATCTGGCGACTTCTTTTCTATATCTTTAACACTAAGTAACATAAAAATGTTCTTCACTCTGGAACTACAAGACTACAGGGATACAGTGTTATGAAAATATTTTAATAGATAATAATCTCAATACGACATGTCTCTGGTTCACTGATTTACAGAGATGGATAGTATGATCTATTAGATATTTTCCCCCATTAGCAACACCTGTAATTCTATGAATTAGCAGCCAGAAAGGGCTATATATTCAGCACTTTAATTCTGATGATTTTACTTACCATCAGGCAAATTAGGAGTAGGGCTAATGAGTGTATCCAGTGTACAGGGACCTCTTGATGACATGATCACTGGAAAACCAGGCACTAGGCATGCAAAAATTAACACTTGCTCCTCTGTGGAGTTTGTCTGAAGTGCTTGAAGCCAAAGAAGAAATAGTCGGATTCCTTCACATCTTATCTAAAAGAAAAGAAAGTAGAAAGTTACATTGATATAAACAGGAAAATGCAGTAAAAATACTGAATATTTAAAGAAGTAAAAAATAGCTTTTTCAAAAATATGAAGATAAGCACCTTCACTCCTATCACTCTCCAGTGAGCCCTCCGACCATATTAAGAGGCAGCATTGAGGGTGTGCTAGAGGCATATTCAGGAGTACTGCTGCATTCTGCCAATATCCGGCCAATGTAATAGTCGCTAGAAAGCCAATATTGCCACCGTAAGTTAGAGTAGTCCTGAAGCTGCTCTGCCTTGAACCAGGGGCCAAACACCTCTGGTAGCTCTGGAATTAAAAGTAGCAAGAAACACTAATATGTCATCTAAGGGAAATACCTTAATAGAGTTTCCAGTGTGCAAAAGTTTCTTCAAAACTGACCCTGAAATTAGAAAAATGAAATAGGAAAATACATTAAAATTATTAAAGCTGTCTGCTTTTGTCAAAAATGCATTTTTACCACAACAGACCATTTAAATGCTGCTAACCAATATTACTACTGCAATGTGTTCGTTTAAGAAATAAATACCTGTGGGGAATTAGCAATGTTGTAGCTAACATATTATATGTTCTGTTGAACAGAAAGATGGAACATTAAATTTGATTTTTTTATCTGATGTCTACTTTGTTTTACTCAGATTCCTCTCATTTTAAAAATATTACCAGTGAACAACTGGTTACTTTGACCCATTAAATTTATAATTTTATATCTTTTTTTAATTATTGTATTAACATTTCATGCCCACAGTTCACATGATGGTATACTGACTGGAAAATTGATTATAATGTTTTTTTCATTTGGGGAAGGGAGAAGCATGGGAACAGAAAAAGAACTAATACTGACAACAATTGCTGAGAAAAAAAAAAAATATACATATACACACACACACAAGGAGGCCTGCAGATGTACGAACAACTAAGAGAACAAAGACTAAAAACTGTTTTCAAAAAAGACATTTTCAAAAAATTAGACAACTTTGAAAATGCCAGTCAACTAACATAAAATACTTTAATAAACATCAGAGCAAATTTGAAAGTGCAGAATATCATTAGCTGAACTCTCAAAAATAATCTCTCAGTGGAAAAGTAACACATCCATGGCTTGTTATTAAATGCATTACTTAAACATGGTACTCTATGCCCTACTGAACAAAATTTAACCATTTTGCATCACAATAGTAAACCTACTGCCCCAATACATTTGCATCTTTATTGTTAGTGCACATGAACATTAAGTAACTGTTTGTCAAAGCAAACCATTTGCATGTGCAAATACTATTTGTAAATACAAATGTGCATGCACAAATCAATGTGCCATCAAGTTTACTTGCCCATTAATTGAAGCTGGCTAAAAAATTTCCCAAATTATGACTTTTTGACTGAAATCAAAACAATACAATAGTTACAAAATGTCTGAGCAAAACTCAATTTATGCTGTTCAAATTTACAGGAAATTATAATGAAGTAGTTCAAGCAGATGTCTCCTTTTATTTTTGTATGTGCTAACTGGAAATTTGACAACAGCCCTTTCCTTGACCTTTCATTTCCACCCATTATTTCTGCTGCCATCACAAATTCATTGCTCAGCTAGAAAACACACTGGTTGATGAAACAGCAAAATCAGTGTTGAAATCCCAAATAAAGAACAGTGCTTTAAAAATGTGACATGTGTCCAAATTATATTCAATAAACAGAACAGTAAATGTTCTGACTGCTTTGGTGCTAATCAGAAGTATAGTTTTTCATTTTCAAAGCAGTAATAAGTCTGACATATTCAAATTAATTTACAGGGACACCATCAGGTTAAAATATATATGTTAAAGTTTCCTTCCCGTGTCACAAACAAGTTAGATTATTAAAACTTAAAGAACTTTGAAAATTTAGTTTACATTTCAGTATTTATGGTCTCTCTTTACTCTACTTAATTCATCCAGGTCAATGAAACAACAATGATCAGTTTTGCTTTCTGGTTCTTGTGCGTTAACACAAGCCACAATGTTTGGCTTACAAATATTGCAGTTTAGAGCCCTGAACTACCTGAGAAAAGCTTGTCCCTTCAAGCTGTGAAATTTAGTCAGAAAAATTATTTCTGCCTCATTTTATTATTGGCTTTTCCACAGTACACAAGAGAATAATATTAGCTTGTTAGCCATATTGTGCTATATCTTTATGTTTATTAAATAAACAAACTACATTAAAAACATTAACGTTGCAAAGTCAAACACTCAAATATCAGAAAATGCATGAATTAGGTTTGCCTATGATATCTTAATTTGGCTCCTTTGTGCTTACGCATTATGATACACAGTCTTTAATTGCATGACTACATACAATTTTTTCTCAGTACAGGAGATGGAGAGTGCTCTGGGAACTAATCAAGGTTGTAAAATATGAGGCTGTTGACTGTAAGGACCCTTTCCTCATTTGTTGCAGAAGTTGGAAGGTGTGTAGTGGCACAAAGCAACGAAAGGAAAAACGAAGAAAGGATGTTCTAAGGGTTGAGGTTATTAAACACTGTCCCAGATAATGGAATTTTATCTGAAGTGGTCTGAAGAAAATGGATAGGGTTTCATATAAACAAACAAAACATACTGGAGCCAGATTCTACTATAAGCACAGATGAAAGTTCTCTATTTATTTGTCATCCTAATCCATTAATCGCTCTATGGATCGAAACTACCTCAGAGTGCGTCATCTTGTGTGCTACTTTTTGCCTTTCAGTAATTAGGTCACAGATACTGTACTGCTTTTCATCCAAGAATCTCAAAGAACTCTGCAAAAGAATGCCTAAGTATTATTCCCATTTTACAGATGGGAAAACAGGCACAGAGAGGTTAATACATCTGCCCAAGGCTCCACAAGTCAGCAACAGAATTAGGAGTAGAACTCAGACCTTCTGGCTGACATTTTCCTGCTTTTATCACTCTACTAAATACAAATGCTAAAGACATGAGCCTTGAAATTCACTCTTTTTGTGATGTCCAGGATTTGTACTATTTGGGGGGAAAAAATCCCTGGAAATAAAAGCTAAGACTATATAATAACCCTTGTGGCAAAAGAAGAAACTAGACAGCCAAATACCAATAAATAAATAAATGTAAAATAAATCAGGGGATGTAGCTGAAGGGTTTTGTGACTGCTTTGGCAGGGAGAGAAAAAGGAACTGAGGACTGTAGCTGAATGGAGCCTTTAAGAGCTGAAGGTTCAAGAATGTTTAGCTCTAGGGCTGGTATTGGAGCTCTTCCTATGCACTTTTCTACTACTACTAAATGGTTCTGTGGTTCATAGGGCATGATGTGCCCTTCCTTCTGTGGGGATCTTCATGGCAATTTATATAGGAGGACAGTAGCCTGGAATTTTTATGACGACAAAGATGCCCTTGAAAATTTCACTGAAAATGGCATTACTACCCAGCTTATATTTATACTAACAGAAAGTTTTTAATGGTAAACAACCATATTTTACACACATATTTTAATACTGCTGTGACAATCAGGGTTCAGGCACCCTCAGGGGAGAACAGGGGGGCTGAACCCCAAAGAATAAGCAGTTGAATCAACCGATTGTATACTGTACTATAAAAATATGTTGAGTAAGGTCTTTTATAAAGCATGTAATGTTCTGAACTTGATGTTCATTTGAGATATGTATATAGATTGTAGTTATGAATTTATGTATTCATGAATATAGCAAACTGTGCTCATAATTAGTGGTGCGGTCAGGCTGAGGAGGGGCTGCCTTCCTAATGAGAAGAGATTAGCTCTAACACCGACCATTGTACTACCCAGGAAAAGACAAATAGTAGTCCATTGAAATTAATGGGAAAACACTGAGACTTCCTGACTATCAGCTTAAGAAGGAATTTCCCCCACTCTGAACAAACATGAGTCACCACGCAAGAGAAGGAGAAAAAGTGGAGGGGGAAGGCTTTTTAAATGGAGGCATTAAATTATTGTTTTCATAGAGAAACTGAGGGACAATCACTTTGTGTGTGCTGTCCATGAAGCACTAGATCCAATCTATTGCAGGAGGTACTTTGGGAAACTGTTCAGAGATTTTGGGTAAATTGCATTAGAGAAGGGAGTTTATCTAATTTGATTTATGTTTATTATCATTATGTTTATTTGCTGTGTAACTTGTATATGTTTGCTATTCCATACTATTTTATCTTTGAATCTGTGATGTTTTTTATTTAATAAGCCTTTTGTTTATTTTTACCCTAAGCAGGTCTCTGGCATGCAAACTGTCCGAGTGCAGGGGTAGGCAACCTATGGCACACGTGATGAAGGCGGCACACCAGCTGATTTTCAGTGGCACTCACACTGCCCGGGTCCTGGCCACCGGTCTGGGGGGCTCTGCATTTTAATTTAATTTTAAATGAAGCTTCTTAAACATTTTAAAAACCTTATTTACTTTACATACAACAATAGTTTAGTTATATATTATAGACTTATAGAAAGAGACCTTCTAAAAACGTTAAAATGTATTACTGGCACGCCAAACCTTAAATTAGAGTGAATATATGAAGACTCGGCACACCACTTCTGAAAGGTTGCCGACCCCTGTGCTAGTGTGTGCACCAAAGTAAGCTGGTGTCTGCGGGGGAAGGGGGGGGCGCTGGTTTCACACCTTTGGGGGAGACAAAGCAGAGGATAAAAGTCCAAGTGTCTAGTACTTAAGAACACAGGGTGGATGGATTTGGGGTGACTTGGGCCTGGAAGGGCTGTTTGTGGTACTCTGCAAAGAGTAACTAGGCTGGTGGAAGCCAGGGTGAGACCTTGTGCTTGTGGGCAAACTATGGGTGTCAGGGTTCTGAACGAAAGCTCCACGGCATAAAGGCACCCAAGGTTACAGAACAGATGGTGACTAAACCCCTTACTGGTTTGGGTAATCCCCAAAACATCACAGTGGCATAGTGGTTACAGGAGTTGCACCCCAACATCAGCAAATTGAAGTTTACACTCCAAACACTTACAAAACCAGACTCTAACAGACTGAAAACTGAGAGAACAAAGTACAAGCTTACGGTTTGTTATTTTCTTTTCTTTACTTTGGGTTAAAGGAAATACAACAAGGAAAGTGGAAAATGAGCCAGTTAGAGTTCTTGCATGATCAAGCTAAATATGAGGGGAGGGACAGGAAATCAGTAGTGTGAAAAAGGACTTATTTTAAGCTGCTACTAAAATATTTTTTAAAAGTGTTTCTTCTTACCTATACTGTGGAAATGCCATCGATAAAATATCCTCTCAGGTAGCAGTTGCAATATTTTCTGCAGAAAACAAAACTAAACTGTTAACTTTTCCATAATAAATTAGATCGTTCAGCGAATCTTATGGAACAGTTGATGTGTCCCTCTAAGCCAAACATGAATTAAACAATACAAAAATGGGCACCTACAGTAGCAAGGATTAGTGTCCACTATTTTACTTTCCCTGGATATTTAGCGTATATCATGTTAATTAACCACAATTGTAATTACATTTTTTAAAGTATCACCGTCAAGGAATTTTTGCTTTTTAAACTTTCCATTGTTTTAGAAAGGATCCAAACCCTAATATTTCAGAGCATAAACCAACTTCTAACTGAAGGAGTTAGAAGAAACTTCATCTATGGACAGGGTATTTCAAAACTGCACACTTTAGAGTTTTTAATATGTTCTTTTGAAGCATCTGATATTGTCCACTGTCAGAGCCAGGATATTGGACAGATCTGAGCAAATCTTACACTCTATGGATTAGAAGGGTAATGAACACTTTTGTTTCCACCACCTAATGTTGGCAGATCCACCATCTCAAGCAGCCCTAGGGGAACTTTTGTGAGTACTCTTACAGAGAACTGATTTACCTGCACTTTCATCTGCTGGGTGGTACTGACTAGAATTACACAAAGTTACATTAATTACTCCACAGCAGATGCAGTTAGTAAAGCACTCATGTGGAATAATATGTAGTGGGGTCTTCCTCTGTAGTTTTGGGATGACTCTGACAGAGGAAGATCAAGGCAAGGAAGAGGGAAAATCTTGACCACAACCTCTAACTTTGGTATTCTATATGGTATCAATAAAGCAATGCAATTAAGCACATGCTTAAGTACTTTGCTGAATGGGGGCCTATTATCTTGGTTGGAAAAACAGTTGGGGCCATCAAATTTTGCTGCTTGCCAACCCCATGAATTATAATGCTACAAAGCAATTTGTATGAATCACCAAAACTTTTTCATGACTTTTAAGTGTAGCGCAAGCCAATGTGGCTAACTTGCAATTATAGGTCTTTTTTATGAAAGTGCATTATAGGCTGATATCCAACAGAAAGGTAACTCCTGCAAGTAATTGCTAGCTTGTTGCTGCTGAGGATATAAAAGGATCAAATTAATACAAAACAATGAATATGGATTTCTTTTTCTTTTCTGAAACCTTTTCAGCTGCTGAGCGATGGATTTTAAGAAGAGATTAAGAATCCAAAAGGGAAATTAGTTTTAACACTAATATTAAAGGTCAAATAATTATCTCTAAAGAAACTGACAGTTCTGTTTAATCATCACACAAAACAATAGGAACAAACTTTCACAAAACTTAAAGCACCACCAGTTCTTGAGAAAAAACTACATGCAGGATGCAAAATGAGTGACGAGTAATAATGTAAGCAACTGTGACCCACTTCTTGGTCTTTAAAAATAAAGACTGGTAAGAGGAATTAAGGCAACACAGCCAAGTAGACAACACTTAACATTTTAGTTATTTCTTCATACAGGGCCAACAAGTGAGCCATTATTGCCATTGGAACGATATGCTCAAAAGATGGATTACGACAGAATAAATCTGTTGGAAAACAAAGTGTTTCAGAAATTGTATACAGTACTCCAATGACAGTCTCTGAAAATGAAAAACATTCTTTTCTTCATAGCAGAAAATGATAGTCATGGCAACTTCATAGACATTGAGAACTAGACCTCAGGTCACATCAGCAGCCAGAGTAGGGTAAAAGTCCTCTATAACTTTTACTATGGGAGTTGTCCCATAGACAGTATTAAAAACCTTCTTATAGTTAACTCAGAAGAGAAAGTAAGTCTGCGATATCCCTTCTATGTTCCTCATTGTACTTTGCTTCAATATAATCCCCACAAGTCCTTCCATAGGTTTTCACCTGGGGCTTACCTTGGCAGCAGTGGCTAACAATAATTACCCCGAAAATCACATGGCCAGATGTCTAGCTCTGTGTCTATGGGCAAGGTAAATGTGCTTGGAATGGAAAGATCTGGCTGGCTAAAAATGAGGTCATGGTTAAAAAAATTGGGGGGTTACCTGTTAAGGACCATGTTTCTGCCAATCAGATTGCAGGATATATAAGGATATAATAATTATCCATCTAAGTATTAAAGTACTAGGAGATCTGCATCTTTCAATACTACTTTTGACATTAATCAGCTAATCTCTGTTTTCTTCTATCCTAAATTGTGAACTTTTCTTTTTGGTGTTTTCATTCTAAGTTTTACAGTACTACATGTACCAAATGTGAAGAATAAAAAAATCACGCTGAATTTTTCATGCATTCGGATAAATGTTAGACACACAATATGTGCTATATGCATAGTGCACAGTAAGAATTCATGGCTTTTAACAAAAACAAATTTGCTACAAAAACCTGAATGACCTGATGGACCTTCAGAATTATCTTTTAAAAGGGATCCAATGTGGAAATGTTCCAACTTTTTTGTACTTATTATAAACTGACTAAAAGAAAAAAAAAGCAAAACAACTTACCACAAGGAAATAAACAGAAATAAATACTTTATGATGTATGTCTTGGATATAATTTCCTCTAATATTAAAACACACTCTTGATACCCAATTTTTTATACCTCTAAAAAGGGCCAGTGACCTTTTTCTGCATCAAAATATTTCAGGACAAACCTGCTCAAAGACCGTAGATAACGTAAGATTTTAAAATGCACTACTTGCTCTAGTGTACAAAGAAGAGTAAAATGTTATGCTGTAAGGCAACGCAATGTAAATGGGTACATAATGAAACACAAGTAAATTGTAAATATGGCTCCCAATAGCATGAGCATTTGCAGTACATGGCATAGTATGTTAATCTTAAAAATATATGGAATCCTCCATATTAAAGTATTATTAATAAATGTCTGAATATAATGTGATGCACAAATTATGTCAAAAACATAATATAACAACTTCAGATGCAGAACAAACAGAAGTAAATGAAAAGCAAACAAAGAAGTTGCTTCCATAGAAATACGCTCATTGATAAAGTGTGGGAAGAATTATAGAAAATGTAATATACAATATAAAAGCAGCAAATTACTTCTAAAAACTAGTGTTTTTAAAGGGTGGACTGTAAATGCAGAATATTGAAGAAAAATTAAACTAGTTGTAAGATTATGTGAAGAATACCCAACAAGTCAAGGACAAGCAGCACTCTGAACGTAGCTTATTCATCCACCTTTCAGAAAGCGCAAAATCATGACTCCATAATTCTTGCTCTACGAGAAGCACCAACATGCACTATGTTGATGAGACTGCAAACCCATTGGAAACCCCACTTTAGTATACAACCCAGATTACTGGAGGAAAGAATGTCAAAGAAATGACTCTTTCAAACCACCAGGGTTTTGCAAAGGTTTATTTTATGTGTGTGACATGTTTCCTTTACATACAATTTTCCTTTATTTGCAATAAGAAGTTAAGTGTCCAGTCACTTGGAGGTTTCTGTGGGTTGCAGGAAAGTGTAAAATGTCTTATGTCCTGATGGGTCACAGACTTAAATAAATAAAGGTTACTTGCCTGTTACCAGATCGCTTCGAGATGGCTCTGCATATTCACTTGTGGGTATTGAGCCACCTTGGGGAGCCTTATGGTAAAAAGCTCTTCTAGCAGTCAGCTAGAGTGTTCCCACACCCCCATCTCACCCCTCCCCTCAGCATTACAATTTACCAAGGGCGATGCTATAAAGTGGGTGGCGCATTCTCACCACCCCAGATCCTTCCACTGCAAAGCTAAAGACACAGAATGACAAGGACTTTTATAGAGAAGGTAAGGCAGGTGGGAAGTGTGAATATGCAGACCCATCTCAAAGAACTTTGGTTACAGGTAGGTAACCTTCATTTCTTCTGTGAGTGGCTCTGCATATTCCCACTTATGGGATAGATTGATAAGAAGTGCTGAAAACTAACCTGGAGGTGGGGACAGAGTCCTAGCTGAATAGAGACTAAAGCACTGCCTTACCGAATCTGATGTCCACACTAGAAGCCAAGTCCAGATCATAGTGCTTAGTGAAAGTATGTTGCAGCCTTCAAATTTCAACAGCCGGCACTTGCCTAAGACAGGTGAAGGAAGTAGCCACTACAGTTCTTATGTGGTTGAACTGCAGCAAGTAAAGGGATTTTCATTAACATGTAGCCCTCAGCGACACATTGTTTAATCCACCGAGAAACAGTCTAGGAAGAAACCATATATTCTATGTGGTTCTTGGCATAAGAAAAACAATATAGGTGATTTACAAATACCTATTCCTTGGTCAGAATTAAGAGTAT